CATCATCGATCAGCTTGAGCACACACATCACTTGTTGACACATGGCCTTCCTTGAATTGGCAGTATCAGCCAACTCTTCGCTCGGGGCTCATCCCCTCTTCAGTATGGTTTTCAGGTAGTCTGACGTCGGTGCGGCTTGATCCTTGTCTGCACTGGCGTATGTCGCGTCTTGCATCTTGGACCACCACGTCATCAGTTGAATTGTCCAGCGCGACATTCAGGTTGTATTCCATTCGGATTGCACGTGATCCGGGACATACTCCCGCAATTCAGGATGTCCCGTGGTCAGGGACCTCATTCCACATTCCCAGTTCCGGCTCTCCAGTCAGGACAGCTGCGGAGGCCACCTGAATTTCAGGTTGCATCGTCACACGTCAATATCGGCCAGTATCTTCGGATCCAAGCACGAGAGTCGGTGGAACTACCATTACGCCTGAGGTCGTCGATCCACGACAAGATGTGGGTCACGCGTGGAGATCGATGGGTGCCGACAATATCCGGTGGACCAGGGAGAACGAAATACATCTCGATCACCAATATCGGGGACGAGGTGTTGATCCTGCATCAAGACCAACGGGTCGGGATCTGGCTGGCTGGAGATCATGTGCCGCGGATACCGGGTTTTATCTCGATCTGCTCTCGTCGTTACATGGAGTGGCAGAATCTAACTTTGGAAGCCACAACAGACACCCGATCCGAAGGAATGGAGACCAAGATCCCGCTGGTGCCCACGGTGGAGCGGCCAAAGTATGAAACTCCGCGTGCAATACTGCAAAGACCGAAGACAATGTTGATCCAGTGTCGGAAGGTCGAGACGAGCCAGGATCAAGGCACTCCTGACTGCCTACCCTCGGACGAGTCGCCGTCGGGCAAACCACCGTCGGAGATGCGACCGTTGAATCTAACGTCTGTCGCAAGCGAGGAGTCGAATCTGTTGTCTATTGCAGACGAAGACCCTGTATCGCATGCCACAATGGTCAGGGAGGCGCTGGAAGAACTCGATCAAGTGGCGCCAGACACATGGGCGACGAATTCGTTGGTGAGGGAAACTACAGACTGGAAGGAATGCGAGAAGAGGATGGCCGAGATGGAATTGAAGGCGCCAACCAGGATCAACTATATTCAAGAGGCCAAGATCAAGGAACATCGCCGTCGAAATGCGGTGGGTCGGATCTGCCAGCAATGATGAGTGTACAACCTGGGACAGGACATATGACCGGTGATCCATTGAACGATAAATGGGCCACATCTATGTCGCAAAAAACGGACATGGATCCATCACCTGTTGTTGAAGATCAACCAGGCACATCGGATCTGGACCTTACCTGGGACTCAGATCAAGATTATGATGAATGTGTGTATTACAATGAAGGAAGTCATCTATACGCCGAAGACGTCGATGGTCAGATGGCGGTACTGCCGGAGGTGCCTGTGACGACGGAGGATGTGAAGATCGAGGACATTCAGCTTTCTGGATCTGATAATCAGACCCCAGAAGAAATTGACCGACTCCGCCAAAGGATCTGGAAGTTCCGACATCTCTTGATCGGCAAAGGAAATCCCCTTCCACCGGCGGCTAGAGGTGTGGTGTGTGATATCGACGTCGGGGGGGGGGCGAGACCTATCGCCCTCAAGTGTCGTAAGCTGCGGATCCAGTTCAGGGAGAAGCTGGCCGACTTGATCAAGGGTCTATTGTGATCAATTACTCTAGATCACCATGGGCTTCCCCGATCGTAGTGATCATTAAGAAGAATGGGGTGGATATCAGGCTATGCATTGATTATCGGTTGGTAAATAGCCTAACACAACTGATGGTATACCCAATGCCCTTGATCAACGATCTACTCGAAGATCTGGAGTCGACACTTTGGTATTGTTCTTTGGACATGGCAAGCGGATTTTGGGTGGTGAAAATGCCGGATCGTGCCCGCTTGATCTCAGCTTTTATCACGCCGTTCGGGCTATTTGAATGGAATCGAATGCCTTTTGGCTTGAAGAATGCGCCCCAGATCTATCAACGTATGATCGACAATGCGCTATATGGATTCACTCGGATCCCGAAGTCCGAAGATCACGGAGGTATTCTGCGAGGAACCGGCGGATCCAGGCAAGCCATCAGTAGGTCATATATCGACGATATCCAATAACTGGGATCAACTATGTGACCGAGTCGAAAATCTACTCAAAGCATGTGATGAGTGGAATTTGTCGATCGGTGTGGATAAGAGCTTCTGGGGAATGCCTAAGGTGGAATATCTCGGGCAGAAGGTCTCGCACAATGGACTGGAGGCGAACCCAAAAGACCTGTCGGCATTGACGGATCTAGCATTTCCAGGATCACTTGGACCCATGCAGTCATTTTTGCGAAGTCTGAACTATTACAGCCGATTTATCAAAGACTACGCGATCTACGCGTCAGTTCTGTATGAATTACGAGAAACCGACTTCGCTGCAATGATGAAGTCCAAGCACGGATCCAACAAGTACTGGAAGAAGAGGATGTAGATCAAGGATCGCGGGAAGGTCAAGGTGGTGACCATCGAAGTACCTTAGATCTGGAGGCGCCAGATCCTACTGGGGCAGATCCGCGCTGGATCCATGCCCATCGGTCCTTCAGTGTGCTTAAAACTAGGATCGCTACACCTCCGATCTTACGGCACTTTGACCCAGATCGGAGGGCCACAGTGGTGGTGTACGCTAGCGATTGGGCCATCTCGGGATCATTGATGCAAGAATACGACCAGATCTACCACCCCGTGACGTTTGCGAGCCGTACTCTGAAGTCGAATGAGTTAAACTATGGCATCGCGGAGAAAGAGGTGCTAGCCCTTCTGAGGATCCTGGATCTAAACTACAATACGTTGGTTGGGCGTCCGATCCATGTGCTCGTGTTAACCCTAAATTCAACATTGGCGTGGCTCTTCAGATCCACGGCCCTAAAGGACGTTTAGGACAATGGCCGCTCTGTTGTCGCCCTTGACACTTGAGATCACCAAGTGTGTCAAGGGAGAGGATGAGATCTTAGGAGCACTGGCAGCCAGTATTACCCCTAGATCAGAAGTGGATAAGGCATTGATCTCAATTGCCCCTAAAAAGGAGCCAAGACGTAAGATCCAAGCTCCGATCTCCATTATTAGACGGGATGAGGAGCTATATGTCGTCAGTTTCGATGGATCGGCCCGTGTCAAGAGAGGTGGAGGCGCCTACAGCGCGATCCTGTGGAAGTTGCCCGAATGGAGAGTACTGAAAGCTAGATCAGGGTATGCTGAAGACTTGACGGTGAATGAGGCGGAATATCATGGGTTGTTACTGTGTCTGGATCTGTTGGAGGATCTGGATCCACGGCGTCTGGTGATCTGCGGAGACTCAAACCTGGTGATCCGCCAAGTACGAGGAGAGATCGATTGTAAGGCGCCGGGTCTGACACTGTTACGTCAGCGAGCGTTGGATCGACTACATACGTGGCCAGTTCACGAACTATTACACGTCAAACGAGACTGGAACGGGAGCGCTGACAGTCTAGCGAGTGCAGCTCTGCAACGGCAATGTGGGATCGAGATAGAATCTGACACGGAGATCCAGGATCTCATAACGTTGAATCGGTTGGATGAGATCTTGATAGTGAAAGTCGATGAAGGGGTCGCACAGATATCGGCTGTGACGACCCGATCTAAGGCTAGATCGGGAGTGTGTGTTGGATCTGATCCTGGCTTCCTACAAGAAGAGGTCGTGAGAGAGCTGCGGATCGAGCGAATCCGACAAGCACAGGACGAGGAATCGTGGATCACGGGCTTGAAGAAGTATCTGGTCGGGGAGATCCGAGATCTGACACAAGAAGAGGCTAAGATGTTTGGATCTATTGCTATGAATTACGAAGTGGAACAGTCGGATCTACTCTTCTATTGCCCGACAACTAAAGAAACTGCTGCAGATCGAGATAAGCTGATGCGACTGGTGATACCTGAGACTCTTCAACAGGACATTTTGCATCACTATCACACAAGTCTACAAGGGGGTCATCAAGGAGTCGGCCGCACCTACGATCGGATCCGTGATCATTTCCACTGGAGAGGTCTGTATAAGAGTGTACAGCGATACGTGGGAGAATGTGTTAACTGCGAAACAGGCAAAGGAAGACCCCGGATCCAGGGCGAGTCACCTGGTAACCTTCAGGCGACATACCCATTCCAGATCATTGCCATGGATCACATACCTTCACTGCCTAGATCCTTCAGTGGCAACACCGAATTGTTGATCTTCGTGGATCTATTATCGAGATATGTGATCGCCAAAGCCAGCGTCTCTAGATCCGCTCAAACAATCGCTGAGACCTACGAAGAATGCGTCTTCCGCAGATTTGGCGTTAGCGAGGTGATCGGGCATGATCGGGAGCCAGGTTTTATGTCTGACTTTTTTAAGTCCTTCAACAAGATCTTGGGTCAACGTCAACACGCTACTATGGCTTATCGACCCCAGGCTAATGGATCCGCAGAGCGCAACTACCAGGGCTCTTAAGATATACGTGGAGGATCTAGATCAGCGAGATTGGGACGAGTATGCTGAGCGACTTACCTTCGCGATCAACACTGCAAGAGATCGGATGGAGGTGAAACGCCTTTCTACATGATACATGGCTGGGATCCTAGATCCACCTTGGAAGCGGTGATCCCGGTGGGGAGCACTCGCAGGCACGATCGAGATATGAGAAGATGGCGATATCGGATGCAAAAAGTACTATCAACAAGCCCGAGAACAAGCGAACCAGTTTACGCGAAGCAATCGCGGATCGGGCCGGCATGCATAATGATCTAGTACGCCCTCATCATGTAGAGTCTGGATCAGGGGTCTGGTTATATCTAGATCGAGTGCGTGAGGGATATGCAAAAACGCTGGCGCACCTGTGGCATGGCCCATTCCGCGTCGCTGAAAAGATCGGGGAATATGCAGTGAGGTTGGAGGTAGCAGGATCAACATACAGCATTTTCCCGGTAGTGCACGTCTCGAAGATCAAACTGGTCAAGATATTTCCAGAACGACCGGTAGCTCGTCTTAATGAGGCGAAAGGAGATCGGGTGGACTTCGATGAGGCTCTCCTACCTGAAGACAGCTGGACCCAGGATCGGGATCCAGATGAATACGAAGTGGAGCGAATTTCCGATATGAGGACTGGCAAGAGGACTAGATATGGCCGGATCTACCGAGAATTTCTAGTACACTGGCGTGGATATGAAGATCCAACCTGGGTAGACGAGGCAGATCTCAACTGCGGTGCTCTTCTCTATGAGTTCTTGCGAGATCGCGCTAATCGCAACCGTTTCGGTGTGATGCAATCTCACGAGGAACCGCGAGATCTGGATCCATGCTGGTGAGTTGGTCACTAGTGTGGTTGAAGGTTGATGGATCTGAAAAGAGGCTTCAGATCGGAGGACAGGGTTTACGTGATTATGTATATGATGACATGTTGATAGAGATCGAAGTGGAAAGAGATTGATTCTGAGATGGACATGGAGTGAGCGAAACCGAATTTCGATTGTAGATCTAGGGCTGTATTATCTGAGAGATTGTGGATCAAATGGCGGACAAGTGTGGAGGTATTATAGTGGAAATCTTTGCGAATTAACGTGGTTAAAGACTTAGCGGAATCGAAGAATAGGTGACGAATCTAGCCCTGAGATAAAGGTGACGTGTATTACGGTTGACGAAGTTGATCTGGAAGACATACAGGGAGAGGTGTCAGGATCACGGCCGAGGAAAGAGAGGCGGCGCGTTGGGGTTCATGGCCGCCATGTTGAAGGATTTACCGGCTAGTCGTGCGGTCCGGCGAGCGGGATGGCCCGCATGGTGCAGTCGGTAGTGGGTACGCCACGAATCTGCAGCGTCGCACTCAGTGAGAGCCTCGATCAGGTCAGCGGACTCACGACGATTCAGTTGCGGATCTGCGATGTTAGCACTGCGAGCCTCGATCCCGGGGTACCA